TCTGTCTCGTTAGCCCTGATCCCAGTCACCTGTGTTGCTCACTCACGAGTCAGGTATGAGCACCCCATACAGATTTTTTCTTAGGTGGACCATCTGGTCAAAGCACTTTCTGACATAACAGCGCCAATATAATGGGCTTAGCAAGGGAAGTTGGTGAGGCAATACATATAACAAATTTCATACTTAAATAAAAAATATATCAAAATCAAAAATTTACATGGGGAATATAATACATTTAGAATAAATGACTGCACAAGGAAAGGGACATTAATTAATTAAAAATTAATTGTTTAAATACTTTTTGTTTCACATGCAAGATAACCTACAGCTTCACACAGCCAAGCAACATACTGAATACTGAATTGCCTGAATTAATTTATTATCAAATACATTATTATTGCTATATTACATTTATCACACACCCAAACACACACCACACACACACTAACTGATGGTGACAAAGGCTTAGTTTAACATTCGAGAGAGGGCTGTCTGTATCATGTAAAGATATCAGCATACACAAACTCAAAATTAACCACAACAAAGGTAATCTGCATATTTAAACATTTCAGGGGAAACCCTCTTTATGTTAGTCATTAACTGGGGAAGTTCTGTGTTGTTATGATTTAGTTATTTGTTTATCTTATGCAAGTCAGCACATTTAAATTTGTTAAAGCCTAATTTGCATATCATGTGGCAATTTTGTGATGTTATTAGACCTAGACTGTATATAAGAAATGGACGTAGTCATCGTGAAGTCACCCGTTGGTTTGTGGACTGCCGTTTTGAAACCTCCAGTTGGCCGATAGGGTGCCGCCATGTCAAGCAACCAGGAAGTGCCCGGAAGTGATGATACGGCGGAGCTAACGGCCGTGTGCAGAGCTAACTAGCTTGCTGAGCTAGTGAGAGATTATGATTTTTGTTTACTCAGGGTAAACAAAATTATTTTGTTTTCTTATATTGATCTCTGATGTAGTTTATAGGTAGAAGTTTATATGGGTTTATCATTTATTAAATAGACCTGATGTTTTTTTTGGAGAGGTGCAGAAACAGGGTTCTCTGCATCAGATAAGGACACTTACTTAGGAACAATGGGTGAGGGGTAGTTTGGAATGTGGTACAAAACATCTCTTCTCCAAGATATCTTATTTCAGGAACTACGCTCGTAATCTGCCCAGCAACAGCATGGTGATTCGTGGAGTCAGAGGACAAACATTGGGGTCAGAGGACTGGGCCAATCATGGACTGACCTACTCTTTTGTTTTATTGTTTTATGACATGACGATGTATACTAAAACACTGGGTCAGGGAGAGATAGCCAGTCAGACTTCATGAACTGATACGGCTTGTTGTTTGTCAGAGAAAGGAAGATCGACCCAGAGCTCTGTAAGCTTTATTAATTTACTTGTAATAAAACTGATTAACTTGGATCAAAAACATCTTCTCCTATTGCTTCATGAAAGAACACACAGGACCAAGGACTACACATAGTTTAAAAAGGGTCATTTAAAGTCATGGTCCAACAATTTGGTGACCCCGACGGGATGAAGACGGAAGGATGATGGTCCAATAGAAAGAAAATTCTCAACGGAGAGCTTTTGCTGGGGTGACAACAAACGACTGGCCAGTCAAATTTAAAAAAAGGTAAGCAGACACCTGTTTCATCAAAGTCTGTCATTGGAGATTCTAAATTTGTCTGTCATTCTGTCAGTATGAAGCATCCTAGTCATTAAGTGATTGAATACAGCTTAAATAAATAAAGGGGTTGAAACGCAGGGGGGGTGAGAGGCCCCCGAAACACAAAGGAGGGTGCATTGTTGAATGTTTAATGTGTAGTGTGGTTTAAATAATTGTCGGTGTGAAAGTGAATGTACATTGTATATAAAGGAGTAATAGGAAGTTCACTGAGTTTCAGAGATTTTGAGAGCAGTGTCTGTGTGATAGTTTAGGGTAGTCGACGGCGGAGAGATCGACGTAGTGAACATGGAGGGTGAAATTTATAAAGAATCTGAAAAAATAGGAGGTTGTGGCCCGCTGAGGCAGACGATACAGCAACAGTGGGAACAGGCACGTACTCAATTGGCATCAGGAGTGAGGAAAGATAAGAGAGAGAAGGTGATGGAGAGATATGATAAATTATGGGAAAATTTACAAAAGGCAGGGGAGTTGCCGGCGGAGATCAGAGAAAATTATTGTCTCAGTATTTCGGAAAATCTGAGATGAAGGCCAAGGAGGATTCAGACATACACACCAAAACTGAGACAACATTGTTAGTAAGGAGGAAATGGATGAAGAGACAGGAGGAGCTGGAAGCTCCCAGAATAGATTTGCATAACATGGCTATAGCTGCATTGGCGGGGGAAGTGAACAAAGCAGGCAGGCAATAGAGAAGCAGGCAGAGGGGAGACAGTCAGGCCCACACACATGCATCCCCATAACTCCACCTCCCATAGCACCTCTTTATCCTGATTTAACACAAACTATAGTTTCACCACCACCGTATCCATCTAATCAAATGTCAATGCTAAGGGTTCAAGATGGACTTTTGAAGGTAGAGGATCTTGGAAAGAGGGAATACACACAGTTGAGGGCACAGCTGAAGCAGGAAGTGAAGGATGGATTGGGAGGAATTGAGCTAGGGGGTCTTATTCAGGAGGCGCGAGAGGCCAGTGTGGTACAAGGTACAGGATTTAGAGGGAGAGATTTAGAAGGGTGAGAAAGACAGAGACAGAGAGTGAGAGAGGAGATGAGGAAGAGTTAGAAGCAGATGATGAGTGGGGAGAAGGATCAGACATAGTAGAAGAGGAAGTTAAAATAAAAGGGACATTACAAAGAAGGAGGAAGAATGCAGGTGGAGATAGACTGAGTAAAGCAGCATATAATCTGCATAGTAGAAGAAACTGGAGGAGCAGGCAGACGAGGACGAAGCCATAATGAGGGACTTACTAGTAGAACAGGAGTACACACCGGTGAGGAGGAACACAACTACACAACAATTTCCTCAGATCACATCCAAATATAGTAAACAAATGCCACTAATTTATAAAGGACCAGGTACCGGAGAGGTGTACACACCATTCTCTTTCACTGACATGAATTGCATTTTAGAAAAGAAGCCGCGTCCGATGGAAGGAGGAGCTCAGTGGATGAATAACTTTTGTAAATTCACTTTGGGTCACAAGCTGGGTTTGGAAGACTAGAGAGCCTTAATGGGGAGACAGGCGACAATGTGGGAAGTGGATCAAATTGAGAATGTCGCAGGTACAGGCGGGTTACCAGACTCTGAATCGTTTGGCCGTTGTGCCACTGACATAGGCCGAGCTATGCGAGAGAAATTTCCTGCTCCAGTGGGAGCAATGCATACTCTAACGCTTTCCATAAAACCAGAAGAACCCGGTGTCAACCTTTTTGAGCAGATGTAAGGAAGAGTGGACAGATACTGAAGGAGCATATCCAGGCTCTAGTGAATTGCAGACTACGCTCTTTAGAAAAGCAGTAATGACAGAGATCCCACAGCAGGTAAAAGAAGCCATGGAAGGAAATCCAGATATTCCTTGGTGTTCCACTGAACAGTGGACACATCACACCTTACACATCACTTGAAAAGATACAGAGATAAGCAAGCTCAACAAAAAGGTGACTTAGATTCTGCTCAGGAACAGCTTTTAAAGTTATAACTGGAGGAAGCTAGAAAAAAGGCAAATGAGGCAAAGAAAGAAGGCAGAAAGTCTGCAACTCAGATGATTCAACAACAGCAGCCACCCGTCAGTGGTGCACCCACTCCTGACCTATATCCTACACCACTGTAGGTCTTGACACACCCTCCTTATCGTCGGGGACCTGGCGGGCAATATGGAGGCTTCAGGGGTCGGGGAAGGGGTCGCGGAGGATTCCAGGGGAAATCCACCAAATAATGGCTGCTTTAATTGTGGTGATCTAAATCACTGGAGGAACACATGTTCATATGGGGCATTGCCAGGACAAAGGGGTCAGATAGCTCCCCCTAGAGGAGGATAAGGGCCACGTTTTCAAGGTCCAACCACCTCAACCACCTCAGCATCAGGCGCCATATACAGCAGCAGCTCCCCAGGGCCAGTACCCTCAAATGGATTGGACTGAGCACAGGGAACAGTACTAAAGGGGCCCCAGAACCCCACAGCTGGTAGGTCTGGCAGACCCCTACCTGCACATCAGGATAAATGACGATGAAATGCCATTTATTGTGGACTTACGGGCACGCTATTCCACCATCAACTGTGATGTGCCTAAATCACAGCTGTCATCCTCAAGAGTGGAATTAGTTGGATTCTTGGGAAAACCTGCCATTCACCAGACGTCTACCTACCAGGGTTGCAGATCAGACTTTTATGCACTCATATATTTCTTCTCCCTTATGCCCAGCAAATCTGATGGGAAGCGATGTGCTCAAATGTGGTGCATCCATTTTGTGTGGACCTCAAGGGCTGGTGGTGACTTTTCCTAATGGTTATACTGTGAACTGCTCAATCTCTATAATGCAATCAACTTCTCAGATGTTGCTGTCAGCAGATGTGTCTCCCACAGCTCCAGGAATATGAGGCCTACTGACAACTGATCCTGCATGTGCTGGAGGAATACAGCACCTATATCGAGACTGGCAACCCTGGATCCTAAAGCTACACCCCTACTCCCCTCCTTTGGACCCTCTCCATGTGACCCTTTTCTATGATAGGGATGGGGATGAAATTTATCAGCAGGCATTCTTCAATGAAATCATCGACCTCAAGTGGGATATTAATTCTAGTTGTATCCTGGTGGGAAAAGAAGGCGTGGCTGCGGTTGTTGAACTCACTGAGGAACAGATGACATGGTATAAATTGCAGGGTGAAGTTGTACCCCATATTACTTTAGCTATAAGTTCAGACCATCAGGCTAAGGATTTGGGCCATATGTGTAAGCACTTGGAGTCGATATCTGACTGGGTTTCCATGTTTTTTAATCATCATCTGAAAAGGCTTACAAAATTGTTAAGGCCACTACAGATCAGGTTACTTTGGAACACAGACAAATTGAGAGGTTCCATGGTAGGGAAAGAACAGACCATCAAGACGCAGAGGCGATGTAAAATTCGCTCCCATCTGCATTATGGTCAGCAGGCCCTACAGACGTGGGGCACTGCATTTATGTGCAACCTGTGACTTTTGACCTCTCGGATTGCACACTTATCTGGCAGAAACAGTATCCATATAAGCAACAAGCTGAGGAGGGAATAGCAGACACTATTGAGGGACTGTTAGCAGCAGGGGTGTTGGAGGAATCTCAGTCACAGTGGAACACACCTATCTTGCCAGTAGAGAAGCGGAACACTGGCAAATATCGCATGGCTCATGATTTACGTAGGATTAATGCAATTGTTTCCACTCCAACAGTACCTGTGCCTAATCCATATAATGCAATGTCTGTTCTGTCACCACAACACCGGTGGTTTACATGTATGGACTTGGCCAATGCATTCTTCTGTCTGCCACTGGCTGACCATCTTAGAGATATTTTCTCTTTTACCTTCCAGGGTACTCAGTTTCGTTACACTCGAGTGCCACAGGGTTTCATACTTTTTCCTGGACTATTCAACCAGATTTTGAAACAGCAGCTATAAGATCTTGAGCTCCCTGACGGAGTAGTTTTGATACAGTATGTAGATGACATATTATTGGCTGCTCCAGACTCTGATTCCTGCTGGACTGCGACTCATTCTGTGCTCTCTAGGCTCTTCGCTTGTGGTTTTGAAGTCCCCAGATCCAAGTTGCAGTGTTGTAGACAGCAAGTTTCATTTCTGGGAAGAATCATTTCCAGACAAGGTACAGGGATGTCACCCTGACACCTGTCATCTCTTTTGCACCATCCCATACCCCTCATTGTGAAAGACGTGTTGTCTTTCCTAGGCTTGACAGGGTACAGCAGGCAGTTTGTGGCATCATATGGCGAATTAACTTACCCTCTCAGGGCCTTGGTTAATGAGCAAGGCATGAGAAATCTCTCTGCCCGATTGAATTGGACCACTGAAGCCGAAGCCAGTTTTATAGCTTTGAAACAGGCCCTAACCAGTACTGCTGCCCTGGCTATACCGGACTACCAGTTACCATTTTTTTTGGATGTTTCTGAAAAATCACACACAGTAAATGGGGTGCTTTTTAGAAAGAAGGGGGAGGTAGACAGGTGCTGATGTATGCCAGCATAACTCTAGATCCAGCTGAAGACAGACATCCTCCGTGCACAAGACATGGAGCAGGAGTGGCAAAAATTTTGCAGAAAACAGCACACATAGTGATGGGTCATCCAGTGACAGTACTCACAACACACAGCATTGTAGCATTTGTTAGTTCAACAGCATTCACCATGATGTCACTCAGACACATTACGCTGGAGAAGATTTTAACAGCACCCAACGTAACATTTACACATGAAGGCATCACCATGGCAGACGACATGGGAGTGGGAGAACCACATAGATGTGAGGAAAGAGTGCAGAAAGATGTGAAGGTCAGAGAAGATCTGCAAGCAACTCCGTTGACCCAGAGGAAACACTGTTCACAGAGGGTGTTGCTACAGGCATCCTACGGAGGGACTGAAAGCAGCATATACAGTGTGGATTTGTGCCTGTTATATTAAATAAATTTACTACTACTACTCCAAATTCCTCTCTTCTCTCCCACAGAAAAGCAGGGTGGTTAATTATCAACCCTCAACAGACGGTTGAAGAGACCCCAACAGAAGGGGGGTGGAGAGGTCACTTTCCCTAAGTGCTATTCCTGAGCAGTTGATCGTAAAACTGGCCACCTTTGGCAACAGCCGCGATAAGTCTCTGCCTGAATTGTTAAAATGACAAAGAAACTAACCAGAGATTACAAACAGCCTATCAGAACTCTCCTTGTAGGGGGGCAGGAAACCCTAAACTGCCCCCCCACACACATGTAACCGTGGCAACTGACCTTTTTTCTTTTATAGGCATTAAAAGTTTAGAAAGACAGTCCCTTTAGAAGGACTGCCCTCTGGGGACTTCTAGGTAGCTTTTAATAATTACACAATTATTCACCAGTGATCAGTTAGTTAATAATTGCTCAATTATCTTAAATCAATCGGTCAGTCTCATATCTAAAGGGTAACTTCTCTTGGCATAAAGGTGGTTAAATACATTAGAGAAATAAACAATGGCTAAACAAATGTAAATGCTCCGTATTTTTATAGCGCCTTTCTAGTCTTTTCGACCACTCAAAGCGCTTTTTACACTACATCTGCATTCACCAGTTATACACATTCATACACTGAGCCTAAGTGCTCAAACGGAAACTAACATTCACACACATTCATACACTGGCGTAACAGCCACCAGGGGCAATTCGGGGTTCAGTATCTTGCCCAAGGACACTTCGACACGCAACCAGGGGGAGCCAGGGATTGAACCGCCGACCTTCCGATTAATGGCCAATCAGCTCTACCTCCTGAACCACAGCTGTTTTCAAGTGTCCTTCGTTGCCGCTGGTGAGACCACGTGGCTGGGTCTGACCTCGGTGAAGATTCGCCAGATGTGTGTCGAAGCATCCAGAGAGCAGAGCAGAAAGCGGAAGAGAAGAGGGCGGGCAATGTCGTGTGTCGCTCTTTTGTTGTGTGGGGCGTGGTTCCCCAGAGGGCAGTCCTTCTAAAGGGACTGTCTTTCTAAACTTTTAATGCCTATAAAAGAAAAAAGGTCAGTTGCTACGGTTACATGTGTGGGGGGGGGCAGTTTAGGGTTTCCTGCCCCCCTACAAGGAGAGTTCTGATAGGCTGTTTGTAATCTCCGGTTAGTTTCTTTGTCATTTTAACAATTCAGGCAGAGACTTATCGCGGCTGTTGCCAAAGGTGGCCAGTTTTACGATCAACTGCTCAGGAATAGCACTTAGGGAAAGTGACCTCTCCACCCCCCTTCTGTTGGGGTCTCTTCAACCGTCTGTTGAGGGTTGATAATTAACCACCCTGCTTTTCTGTGGGAGAGAAGAGAGGAATTTGGAGTAGTAGTAGTAAATTTATTTAATATAACAGGCACAAATCCACACTGTTGTTCACTACAAGAGTAAGGTCAGACAATGGCACACATTTTAAAAACAAAGACCTGCAGGCTGTAGAGAAAGCATTAGGCCTGAAACATGCATTTGGTACCGTGTATCATCCTTAATCCCAAGTGAAAGTGGAAAGGATGAATCAAAACATCAAAGCAAAAATTGGTAAAGTGTGTGCACAACCTAAACTGAGCTGGGTAGAAGCTCTACCAATTGTCCTAATGTCCATCCGCAGTTCAATTAACTCAATGACGGGGTTTACTCCTTATGAGTTAATGACAGGACAACAGTTCCCAGGACTGGGAGCTGGACTGCTCACTGAGGAAGCAGATAAAAGCCCAGTAAGGTATAAACTTTATTATTATCAAATAACAGCATTGGTGTCAGCTTTCTGCAAACAGGTTGCAGCAGCAAAGGGGGTGTCGGACGAAGGGACATCGCCATCCACGGAGTGGGTTTTACTGAAGGGGATCAAACGGAAGTGGTCTGAGCCAAGGTGGACGGGACCCTACAAGGTGACAGAAAAGCTGCACGGAAAAGGAGAAACCTGGTACCATTGGAGCCAGTGTGCAGCAACAGATCCTCCCACTAGGACCCTCGAACAGATAAGAGATACTCAGTGAACTCAGAGACACATTGAACTCACTTTAATCTGTTTCCTTTGATTCATTTTCTGGTGAGCAGATGAGCGGGGTATAAGTACTCTCCTGGGAAAGATTTTGCCAGGATACATATGAGAGGACAGTCCCAGAATTCTTGAAGGATTTAGCTTGCTTTTACTTATATATTTTATTCATTTATTTTGTGTGCTTGTTTTATTTTCTATTATAATCTTGTGTGATAGTTTTTCAGAACGATGTACATCCCAGACAACGGGCTCTTCCAAAAGGGATGGTTTTTGTGTATTGTTTCATTAATTGCATGTATGATTGTGGTACCAATATTATGGTGGGAGGACGGTCTGAGAGGCAGGGGTACCAAACAACCAGAAAACCAACACCAGATGGATCTGTGACTAAGGCGCTGGAAGGCCTTAGAGCACTCTCAAAGGAAATGCATGAAGCTTCAGGGATAGACAACCCATTAGGTGGTATATTTGAGCAGTGGTTTGGTAAATGGAAAACTCTCATTGTGTCGGTGGTCATGTCTCTGGTTGGGATGATTGCTTGTGTGGGATTGTTGTATTCCATGCATCAGGTCCCTCTGCGAGCGTGCAATAGTCGCAGCGGTGGAGAAAAGGAATGCTCCACCTCCCTATCAAATGGTCCAGGGGGAGGTGATGGCATGGCTGGGAGAGGGAAACGATTTTTGTATTACTCAGGGTAACCAAAATTATTGTGTTTTCTTATATTGATCTCTGATGTAGTTTATAGGTAGAAGTTTATATGTTGGTTTATCATTTATTAAACTAGACCTGATGTTTTTTTTGGAGAGGTGCAGAAACAGGGGTCCTCTGCATCAGATAAGGACACTTACTTAGGAACAATGGGAGAGGGGTGGTTTGGAATGTGGTACAAAACATCTCTTCCCCTAAGATATCTTATTTCAGGAACTACGCTCGTAATCTGCCCAGCAACAGCATGGTGATTCGTGGAGTCAGAGGACAAACATTGGGGTCAGAGGACTTGGGCCAATCATGGACTGACCTACTCTTTTGTTTTATTGTTTTATGACGTGATGATGTATACTAAAACACTGGGTCAGGGAGAGATAGCCAGTCAGACTTCATGAACTGATACAGCTTGTTGTTTGTCAGAGAAAGGAAGATCGACCCAGAGCTCTGTAAGCTTTATTCATTTACTTGTAATAAAACTGATTAACTTGGACCAAAAACATGTTCTCCTATTGCTTCATGAAAGAACATGCGGGACCAGAGACTACACATAGTTTAAAAAGGGTAATTTAAAGTCACGGTCCAACACTAGGTGCAACTGTAACTCACATTAACTGTCATTTTAACAGGGCCGATAACTTTGTCTAGCGAACAACAGCCGACTCCTAATAAGCTTTTTCAACGGCGCTGGTTAAATTTACACAGCGACGTGGCCACCTTAAGAAAATGGGTGGCCACCCTAGTGGCCCCCCCTGGCAAGGAGCATATGCATAAAATGCTATATACTGTATATTATGTAACCCCTTGGTTTGAGTTAAAAGATAAATAGCAACATACAAGTGTTCTCATATTAGGCTCCGCCACTTTAAGAGGGTAACCTCTGACCCTGAGATGTGACAGACTGTGATGTTTATTTTAGGAGAGGCCTCTGATTCGTCCATGTAGATGGCAATCAC